CCGAAAACGCAGTCGGTTCGTAGAACGGATTAAAATGGACGCGACAGGAGGCGTTTTCTGGATATCACTTTTTCAACGCGAACGATAACATTCAGAATGTTGCAGAGGCACCTGGTATCTATTGAAATTCCCGTGGCTCCTGTTTCAACGGTTCAAATCCTACGGGTTTTCCATACGGGTTATAAAAGAGAGACGAGAATGTGACAAGCTACTCTGCCTTTTCAACGAATTGGCGCACTGTTCGGTTAACGTTTCGATCTATGCTTACCCTTTCGATTCAACGCCATCGATATCCCTTTTCGTTCGGAGAAGGATATCGAAGGATATCGAGAAGGGACGATTAAACGTGATTAACGTGGATTGGAATGACGAATGTGATGGGAAGGGAACGAAGGTTGTCGAAGTTTTAATCTGTCTGTTCGCGTAGCTTTGCTGTATACCTTGTTCATTATTTCGTTTCTCCGAAAGAAAGAAATTCCATAATCTTTGGAAGGATTTGGCGAGCATCCTACGTGTTTCAAAATTTAAAACTCTAAAAATTTCGGATCTTTTTTAATTCCAGAAGGCGATTCGTAATTATAGAAATCTAGAATTCTGAAATTCTAAAACTTTTTAGACGCGGAATTTATGGAACTCCAAGTACTTCGAAACTTCAGAGACTCTTCTAGGAACAAAAGAATTTCCAGAAAACCCATAAATAATTCTCAGATTCTTAAAAAATTTTTAAAATTCCTCATCGTTTTAATCCACGATACGAGCATCTGATATTGCGATGCATCGAATCCCTCTTCGCCTTTTTTTTTCTTTTTCTTTTTTTTTCACACTATTCATGATTCGAGCGCACAGAGGTAACACGGTTGTTTCGCATGCAAAATACATCCGCGTAAAATTCGAACGCGTTCTTGGTCGATGGTCTCTTCAACGCCACTCGTCCCCCCATAAATCTCGTTGCATTTTCACGTAACATTAACGGAGTTCGTTTCACGCATGACGAAGTCACCAGTTATCCAAGTGTCCCGAGTGGACGCTCTTGTCTTTAACTTTGTATCTGCATAACGATGCGATGCATCACCATACATTATATCGAACGGGTCGGGCTCGTTTCCATATTTTCGTGCCTCCTCGCCTTCTTCAGCTTCTCTGCTTCGCTCCATATATATATATGGAGGTGAGTTTTCCATGCCGTCGGTGACACGGAAGTAACGCAACGATCGATTACACGCGAGGCTTATAAATAACTTCGTTTATGCGCGGTCGTACGAAGTTGGGATTAAAAACGGACGATCGAAAAAAGAATCATCAGTTTATACGAAATTATAAATAAATTCATATAATTGGATTGTGTATACGTATAATAAGAGTTTATCTAATTGCTTTCGTCCGGCTTAATAAGTGATTAATTTATGAGAGGATTTTCGGTGTATCGAGTATTACGAGTTTGCAAGTCTCTTAGAAAGTAGGGTCGTTTGTTTATATTAGTTTGAACAAACAAAAATTATTTGTGTATAATAGAAATTTTTTTCATCAATTATGATTCTTTTTTTTATTCGTTTAATTTAGAAAGAATTCACGTTCACACGAGAGAGAAATATTTTATTATGAGATATTTTTCTTAAAATAACGTAGCGAAGAAATATATTTCCAATTATATTAAATGGGATCCGTGGATAAGTGGATGTATCGGATAATATAAAAGCTGAAAAGTTAAGGTTTAATCGGTATTAAAATTTTCATTCGTTCGTATAAACGGAAAAATTTCACTTTACACGAAAAAACAAGGAACGAAAGTTATCCATTTCGAAAGCTATTAAGGGCATGTTGAAAATTTGATCGGATATAAAGTCAAAAGTGGAACTATCCCTTGACGAGAAGAAAGAAAATGGATTACCAAGATTAACAGAGTAATCCGGCCAGTTTCGATCCGGCTAATTCGACGACACACAGCTGACGGAGATAGAGGGCGGGTTCAGTATCGAGCGAAATTGGATGTGGCTGTTCGGTGATAAAAAAAAAAATCCCCCGAGACTATTAAGATATTCGATATATCGATCATCGGTTCGATACTTTCGTCGATAACTGAATTTTTCTTCTTCTTTTTTTTTTTTATATAACACGCGATGTTATCTCTAAGTAAACTAAAGAATAAATTTTCGAATTATTTTTCCACTCGCGCAATCGGCCCGTAATTCATCCAAACTCTATTCACAGTTAAACGAATAAAACCGTGAAACGTTCAATTCATTTTATAACACGCGATATTACGATCTCTACGAGAAGAAATGAATTTTCGAATTTTTTCCCATGGATGTAATCGGTCCATAACTCGTTCAAATCCCGCCCACAGTTCGTTATTATCGAAAGGATTAACGTTATAATGACGTTAAACGAACATTTTCTTTTTTCTTTTTTTTTTTTGGAAAGCTGGGAATTTTTTTACAATACACGTTTCCTCCCATTTGTGTAATCGATCCATAATTTATTTACTCACAAATTTGTCGACAACAATTTGCCAAACGAAAAGAGACGTAATATCGTTAAACGATCAACGTTGTGGAGGATTGAACGTTTCACGGTTAGTCGACTATATAGGAGAATTAATTTGATCGTTAGGCGAGAATGGGATTAGGATTCGGTGTAGTCGGGCGCGAAAGAGGCAGTCGTTCGCCTCTTTTCCTTTCATCTCGCCACGCTCCAGATTAGCAAGGCTTAACACGGTTATTGTTTTCGTAATCCTCCGAGTATCTCCGGTTCGATAAACATTTTCCCACGTAATCACGATCGCGTGTGAACGCGAATACCTCTTCGACTTAATAATAAGTCTCATTATTTGAATCATTAATCCCGGGAGGGGGATGAATAATTATTAATGAAACGTCGTCGATGAGGGTATCGTTTGCGTCCACGATGATCGAACGAACGATAAAGATAAAGATGAATTTGTGGAAGCTGGAGAAGCTTTTAAGGTTTTCAAGACTTTGAGTTTCCTCTGTTGCATCTTTTGTCTAGATTGCATCGTTTGGCTCGATCCCAAGAAAAATTTCTTTCAAAGAATTCAGTTTTCAAAGACACGATCCCTCGTATATATACACACACACGATGGCACGAATCTTTTTTCTTCTTTCCTCGTGAAAATAAGCTTTCGAGTACCGAAAGAAGGCTTGGAAATCTCATAAATTTATTCATATTTCCTTTTGTAGCCTCGTTTCAATTAGATAAATTGATACTTTTAATCAGCTTAAAAGACTCTGAATGAAATACGGGTAAATTCTGCTCGCTTTGGTAGAACGAGAAAAGTTGTGATATTCGTTTATCATATACCCGCCCTGAATGTTGATGCGCATCAATAACGAGATGCGGGGACGGATGCAACAACGATTTCAGCAAGTCATTTTAATACATTCCATCTACTTTCCATCCGAATGTAAAGAGGGAAGTTTTAATTAGTTGCCGTTTCGCGTGATTTTATTACACGCTCGTAATAATCGGGCGCGATGACAGAACAGGATAATAATACACGTTTCGTTCGCAATATGCTAATGAGGTTTTCAAAAAGCCCGGAGCCCCCCTCCCCGTGCTTCCAACAATGGGCTGCGAAAATGGTAGCTCGGTTTCTAGAATGTCTACGACCGATCGATAGGCTCGTGTAGTAGAAACCAGTTACAGCGAAGAGGCAGAAACAGGTGATCGACCCGTACCATTTCGTAGAACGTTTTACGCTTCGTGGGGAGGGGGGAATATACATTTATATTTCATGAATATTTTTCCACGCGGAGAAAATTAAAAAAAAAAAAAAAAAGAAATGTTTTACAAAAGAAAAAAAAAAAAAACGGAGAATCGATTCGATTCCAATCAAAATTTCGATAGTTTACGGTTATTTACCGAATGATTGTTGATCGATCGTACTTTTTGTTATCAATTTTGATTTATCGCATGCTACGTATTTGTATTGCGGTTTCAATTAAAAAAAAAAAATAAAAATAAAAAGAAAAAAAAAGGAAAATGTAAATATAAGAATAAAAATCAGATATTTTTTTTTCGCGAAATAAATAGTGGAACACCAGTCATTGCGGCCTGATCCAACAAAAATTTCAAAGTATTCGAGTATTAGGTTGATTTTTGATCGATAAAACCTTCTATGGATACGGATATAAATTTTGATTTACTGCGTATTAAAAAAAAAAAAAAAGGAAAAATACACGTATATAGATAGTCGAAAAAGAGGCATCGTTCTCGTTCGTCGTTTTCAATCGAGGCGTTTAGTCTCTTTTAAAAAAAATTGTAAACTATGACGTTTTAATAACTGAATTAATTCTTGTTTGGCTTGTACAGGATGTGCTACGAGAGCTGGGGCAGAAAAAGCCGCAGTTGGACGAGCTGGTGCACACGGCGGAAGCGCTTCGCGCGGACACGAATAGACAGCAAGTGCACGGCAAAGGTAAGCTCATTTTTATCCGTTTCAACGCTTTTTAATTCCCAGAAAATTTTTATTTTCGCCTCCCCATTTAACCCATATCGCTTTCATTATCATTCTCGATTATTTATCGCCGTGCTCGATTCGACGCTTACCTTTGATTCGTTCGTCCAGTTGTAAAAAGAATAATTTTCTTCCTCGTGTAAAATATAAAACGTATCGGACGTATCAGAAACGAAAACCGGAAGATGGAATTCAATGATAACGAAGAAGAAGTGTCTTCATCGCGATGGATCGATATAATACGTATCGATAACCAACACGACTTTAATAAGTTTTTGTCACCGTAATTGATAGCACGGTTACCGCTCGCCAAGCACTTTTCACTTCCTCGACGAATTTCAGAAGTTTAATTATCGGCCTTGATTGCTCGGCCAAAGCCTGTAATAAATTGAACCATCTGTTCGGTTGGACAGCTACTTATTATACCGAGTATCTTGCTCCACACCGTTCTTTCCGAACGTTTCTTTTCTCGTCTGATTGAATGGATCTGCGTGCGCAAGAGTCCTTTCCACGGAGTCAGCGGACTTCTTATGAAATCGTCAATTTGTCTTTTCCCATACGTACAGTATCCAGATCATTCCAACTCGAATACAATTGTATTCGATCCAAAAATTTCGCGAAAAGAATTTTTTTCAAACGATTCTATTCCTTTTCTCGTCCCGTCTCGATAGAGTTCTTCGATATTTCTCGGAAATTGCAAGTCTCTCGTATCAGGAATTTTTAACTGATTAATTTTTCCTCGTTTCAATCTCCGTTCAAAAGAGAATTCTCTCTCTCTCTATTTCTCAATATCTGGAGAGGAAAATGAATAATATTTATCCTCCCCTATTATCGACCACCATTAATATTTTTCACCATTAATAATTAGAGCCGTTCAATCGAAGAATCATCGGTCCATCTGGCCGTTGGAAATTACCTGAGATAACCGTTTGAAGGGTGGGATTCGATTTATTCGGAAACTTTTTAAATCGCCGCGAATCTGGCGCGGATTGACGCGATGGAGGGTCGAGCGCGGAGATTAACGGCGGTGCCGTTAATTGTTTCAAGAGCCCTGGAAAACTCTCTCTCTCTCTCTCTCTTTCTCTCTTCCCCCCGCCGATGTCGCATTGTTCCTTCTATATTAGCGTGCCGGTACTTGTCAGTCCCGTCTGCTACCACTACCACGCTCGTGCATTATAGCCAGACGATTCTTTCGTCCATTGTTTCCAACAGGGCGGCCCACTCTGCCCTATGAAATAGGGAAGAAAGGGCTCGCCTACCAAGCCCTATCAAACAGTTGGTGGCCATCCCTTGCGGTAATGCGTTCCTCTTTCGAGAATTCTTATTAATACGCGCCTTCTCTTCTCTCTCCCCTGTTCAACCACCACGTTGCATCAATGTTGCGTGCCGATGGAATTTGACAATTTCTTTCTCTCGCGATAAATGTAGGGAATGAATTTTAAAAAAAGAAAAGTGTGCTGTCATTAATTAAGAAAAACCGCGAGATCGGACGAAGAGATTCCACTTCTCTTCCACAGCGGGTTATGGAAGGAAGGATATTACACTTTGAAACGCAAAAATCTACGTCCCAGTAGAACTTGGGGGGTAGAAAAACTTCAATGTACCAGTGGAGGTTAACACGGTGTGTCAAAAGTTTATCGTTTGGCGGGTAGATGGAAAAATAAAAAGCTACCTCCTCCTTTTATCGATTTATAAATCGCTAGCGGGGGTGGCGAACTCGATGTCTGGTTTTTCGTCTTGGCTGGCGTGCACGTGCCTCCTCGAGATTGAACTCGATGGGCCGACACGGCAACTCCGGTTATATCGAAAGGTGGCCGTATTTCGGCCGTTCTCCACGAGAGGAGATTTTTCATAACGTTATCAAACCACGCTGCTCGAAGTGTTGCTGTTCCCTTTAATTACCAGCACGAAACATCCGGGACATGCTAACGCTCTCGCGTTTCATCGCTTCGTTTCTTCCCTCCTCTCCTCCTTGCTCTTCTCGTTTGTATCTACTATCTTTCGTCACTTCTTCCATTTTGTTTCGCTCGCTGTTGCGTATAGAGAACGCACTTCCAACTTCGAGCATCGCGTTAATCGTAGGTATTTCTTTCCTCGAATAGAATAGAATATCTCGAGCTCAAGGATATTAATATTAGGATCGATATCGTGCATATTCGTTATTCGTAATTATGAGCCAGTCAGAAAATATCTCGTCGACGATACTCTTATTACCGATTTACGTTATTAATTCGCGCAGAAGTATTCGAGGATGAGATAAACGCGATATTTAAAGCGATTTCGCTCGGAATGAAGATGGTTGGAGGGAAGAAATTTCCCTCGCCTCGTTTACATAAATGTTTCTTCGCGTTAAATTAACCGGAGTAGAAATCTGTTGGTTTATTGAATATGCATCGGAGTCAAGATAGGATGGTTTCAGTTTAAAATACGAGACTTCGGTCTCGGTTGTTGGAGCTACTCGATATCGGTTTCGGTTTATTTCTTCCCGGGGAAAAAGATGTAGACGGATGCATCCGGCTGTGGCGCGTATTCTACCTCGTCGCATCGATTCCTTTTCAACCGGATTTCGTATTCGTCGCCACCACTTGGGCGACTTGTGGCGAATAACCGTGGGCGAAGCAATAGAAGGGAAAAAGTGGAAAACGTCTCGAGATAAGGCATCGTTTCCCCTCTTTTGTTCCGTGCGACGGTTACGTTCGGCCTTTCTTCGTTCACCAACTTTCTTCCAGCTGGATTCCACGCGTTGTCTTTAAGCATGCCGTCGCTTAATCGAATACTTGATCCGCTTCGGCATTGTTGCCAAAACTCCCAAGGCGGAATGAAATTCTTGTCCTCTTGATTAAACTCCAACTATCGGCAGGACGGGTTAAAAGATTTTCGCCGGCCGAATCGTGGTGAAGAATTAAACAAATTTTTCCTCTCCTTTCCTTAAAAAATTAGGATATCGAGAATAAATTGGAACGAATTCGGCTTCAAATTGAAACGTTCGAGGAAACGATCATCCCCTCCAGCCAACGTCGAATTCGCAAAGGGTGAGGCGAAATTGGCGAATAATATTTACATCATCGTGTCTACCGAGATTCGCCGCACATAAGCGTGGTCATTTGCATAAACGTATTTCGCGTATATGCGTGCCAAATATACGTATTGCCAAGCGTATATTAATAATTATAGAAACGCGTTAACGGCCGATAATGCATTCTCGAGGTTGGCTCGAAAGCCTCCGCATCGCATTCCTGCGTCCAGCTTTCGGGATGCACGCCCACGTCGGCCGCGATGGTGGTAGGATCGTGTGCGAGGTAGCGGCCAACTCGTACCCAGCCAGGAATCTTTGGGAACAATCACCTCAAAGCCGAACATCGCGATAGAATGATCGTTACACGCAACACCCTTTCGGGATAAATCGTGCCAATAACGCGCTCCTCGTTTCTTACGTCGTTTTCCTTTCGAACTTTTAATCTCGTGAACGAGAATTTTACATTAAAAGTTGCGTCCGTCGGGTTTTCTAAAACATTTGAAAGCGTTGCATTAACCCAATCGCATCGAACGATGATGGTATCTCCACCATACGCAATATTCGTACCAGCCGACATGTATTTGTCAAGTTCAATCTTTTAGTATTGTGCGTGCAAAATTTTGGAATTTTATCTTTTTGATTTTATATGATTTTTTTTTAAAGAACTATCATCCCTACATTCCCACTGGTAAAGTATTTAAATATGATGTCATTGGGTTAATATTCATGTTTGGAGTTGGTCGAATTTTTTCCTTTTTTTTTTTCTTTGAGGAGAAGTTTCTCTTTTCCGTAATAAATTGAAATCGGTTCGAAACGGTGCTGCGCAACCTGTTGCGAAAAGGTTGGCATTCTCTTTATATTGAGATGTTTCATAATGGAGTCGATGAAGCACGGTCCTGCTTCTTGGAAGGGACCCATAAGGGGGATTAAGCGAGCCGAGAGAGTTATCGAATCTTGATTCACGGAGCGGAGGAGGACAGGCCTGGCTTTTATAACCGCAGGGAAAATGTTTTTATTAACACGAAGGGTTGTTTGATCTTCGAATGATGAATCGAGTCGTTGTGTTTGAAAAACACAGGACACCCAGTGTATATTGTCCAAGTAAATACGCAGAATCGATATGATAGCCGAGCAAACTATTCGCCACTCATTTTTCTATCGTTGCTCACATCATCCGCTATCATCCCAATTAATCGAGTATTTACGCGGTTTCTTCCTTTCATTCTCGCGAACCGGAATAATTCTTCTCCAAACTTCTTCCTTACATTCGACACAAACAGCAAAGCGTTTGTTTTACGTAACTCTTTAGCTCGAGAAAACAGATGTAATTGCGATTCGCTACGCGATACGAAAATGTTCCTTCCCCCTGGAAACATATCCACGCTTTCTTAACTTAAGTTTCGCGTTAAGAGAGCGAAGCTTGTCGTCTTCTACGTTTATCCTATCCCGCGAGAAATATTCCCCTTTTTAGATTTTCCGTGGGGCGAAAATTTCCACCGACCGATTACTCCTCTTACACCCCTCGTTCCTCCTCGCAATTAACCCCTCCCTACCCGAATCTATGGCAACTAGGGAGCGTTGCATATCTCCACAAATTATACGTACTTTGGGTAACTTATTGCGACTAAGGTATCAGGACGCCTCCTCGCCTAATTGCTTAATTATGTCAATTAATGGGGGTGCAACGAAAGTTGCCAGCTCCGTTTCGCTTCCTCTCCGCTGGATGAAGTATGTCCGGAACGTTTCAGCCTCTGATACCCCTTTCGCCCCGACCGAGGGAGAATGTTCTTTGATTTTGTAGCGCGCGATTCTATTACAAATCGTAAATTGTTAATTATTCCGGAAATACGAGCTTAGCTTTAACAATCTCGATAGCAATTTGTTTCGATTTACATTCGATAGAGAAAGAGAGAGAAAGAGAGTTCGTTCGATTTTTTTTCCTCGA